AATGCTTTAACAAGCGATGTTTCATATTTTAGCCCAAACAACCATAGATTAATTAGGGGTGAGCAGACAGCCCACAACCTAGACAACCTACAAGTACCCATGGAAAATGAGTAGATTTTAACTCATCACTTTAGGGAGAAAATATGGGTGCGCTAAATTCAAGGGCCAACCTATATTGATTGTTAATGGGCAGAATGGGTTACAGGTTACCCCACGGGTTGCCCTTCTTGCTATATAGATTCCTAATCAAATTTTTTTTTTAATCTGAAGGACCTAACTAGATGATTTTGAGAAGATTTGAATATTTGGTTTTTGTGGAATTTGTTTTGGCATGTCCTGTAGAAAATCTATTCCAAGTTATGTCCATAAACACTATCTTTAAGAGCAGTTATAGTATAATTGTCAAAGGTCTCTAAGATTAAGCTAATCCCTTCTATAGAATGAATAAGGTGACAAAATAGTAGAAATTTTGAATAATCTATGAGAAGCACAAGGGGAAAGGAAAGTAGAGTGTTTGAAGGCTCGGAACAGTGCACAAGAAACCACAAGAACCATTACCTTTTATAAGCAGAAAATCTCATAAACAATGTGCAATAAAACTTCATTTAATGACGCCCGAGTACATATAAAAACAGTTTCGAAAAATAAAGGGATTTAATATAAAATGAATGGACTTAAATAGTAATTAATTTTATAATAAAAAAGATAACTATTTTTAAATATCATTAAAAAAATTAAAAAAATCTAATAATTTATTCCTGTAATTTTAGGTCCTTTGATGACGCCAAGTTATGTTCTCTGTCCAGTCGTCACCCCTCTTTGGATCTGAATATTTAGCGAGTGTCAGTGCAGGTGTTGCTAGGGTTGTGCAAAAAAACTCTAGACCCAATTTGTTTGGTTTGACCCAACATGACCCGGTCGTAAAAAATTCAACTCAAACAAAAGACTGGACTGAATGACTACACATACGGGTCAGACTAGACTAGAGATGGTTATTTTTTTAATATTAAACATTAAATAATTATATTATTTACAAAAAAAAATCTTACTCGGTTGAGCTCAGTAACAGTACCCTCACGCTTCACGCGCATGCCTTGGAGTTGGTCTCTAAGCTCTAAAGTCTGATAGCCTCATTTTTCATTTCTCCATTTCTCCATATCGCATGAAAATATAATTATAGGGTAATTTGAATAAAAATAAAATACAGGAGACAAAAAATGAAAATCTTACATTTATAATTAAAACAAATCTCTAACTAGCTCTTCAACACTTGCAAGAACAAAAAAAAGAAGCAGTAATATTTACAAGTATTGAATAGTGTGACACCTTTTTTGTACTTCATATAATATGCGAGAAAGATGATTATTTATACTCTAAAAACCTAAAAGAAACATAATTAATCTCACAACAAGGACCATGTGCAATTAAATAGTGCTCACTTTGAAACTCAATCGGTAATAAGTCTATGATATTGATGCAAGTGAATAGGAAAGGGAATATAAGGGCCTTTTTTTTTTAGAGAGAGTTGGATTCAAGAAACTGGACTGGTCTAGTAACCCGATGGATCAAGTCTAACCCGATCCAACAAGATTGGACCATTCTTTGGACTAAAAATTCTAGCCTAATCTCCATTCAGACTAGACTTTAGGTTGGCGTCCAACCCGGTCCAGCCCGGTATTTGTGCAACCCTAGGTGTCGCATTGTCACCAAAGATCAAAGTAGAAAAGAAGAATTGTGAGATTAAGAAAAAAGTTGTTGTTGGGGATTGAACCTTGACAGTTGGGAACACTGGCCACATATACAACTTAGTTGCTACCTACCAGGGGTGTTTATGAGATGGAATGAGATCGAGACACTCTTATCTTCTATTTTGTCTTGAAAAAAAATTGGAATTAAATTTTTGTCCCGTGTCCCATCCTGTCCTAAAAGTCATCTCGTTCTGTTAAAAATTGGGACGGGACCGGGATGAGATCGGGATGTCCAGCTGTCCCAATAAATCGAACAATATTGGAGAAAGATATAGATAATAGCATTTATTAAAATTTTAAATCAAATAATTTATTTAATTTAAAATCAAAACAACATAAATACATAAATTACAACAATTTAAAATCAATTATTAAATTACATTAATCACAACTATGCGTAGCAATTACAAGTGATCTCTAGGTTATAAGAGCAACAACAACAAGCAAGCCAAGTATAATATCAAATTATTGTTCTTTTACTTTAGTTGGGATGTGCTAAGTTAATTAATCTTTCAAAAATAAAGCAAAAAATACAATATAAATAAAAGTTATTAAATAGATAGATATAAAAATAAATTGTATTAATGTAATTAATATATTATAAAGAAAGGTATCGTCTTGTTTACTCTATATCATTAAAATTATCAATATAAAAAACTTTAGTTATATATACTTCTTGCAAGTATTAAAATTATAATTGATATAATTAATATAAATATAAATTATATTAATATAATTAATATATTTAATGTATATTTTTAAAATAAAAAATAATACACACATATATATAATATTCAGGACGAGATGGGATGTCCTGATGGTGATCTCGTATTCTGTCCCATTCTAAACCCCTTTCATATCTCATTTTGCAAAGTCCCATCCTAATTGTTTTTGGGCTGGACAAGACTCATCTCAATATAATCAGGATGATATTGAGTCAATTAGAATGGATACAAGCTAAACACCCTGACTACCTACTTTGTTTGTTTGGAAAGAAAATGTAGGAGGAAAAAAATGTGGGAGGAAATTAGAAAGAAAACCTCTTATTTGTATAGAAAAGGAAAAGTATGGGAGAAAATAGTTGAGACTCGCCATATTTTTTCTCCAAGTTCTCCCTCCATATATGGAGAGATTTTGAAAAGCAATTTATTATTCCATGTATGCCCTTCTCTTTTTTAACTTTTGTTTTCCCTATCTTTACACTCTATCAACCTCCCTCTTATGCAAAACCTCTCTCTCCTGCTCTTCTTTGTCTTCTCCACCAGAAGCTAGATTCCCACTATATAAGTAATTCATATTTAATTTTAATAAATCATCTCCTTTTAATATCTTACATAAAAAAATAATATTTTTTATTAAATTATTTGGTTTTAAAATATAACAATAAGATAATATTTTTAATAAGCAAATTGATTTTATTTTTTATGAAGTTAATTTTCATATAATTTTTTTTCATTTAATTTGTTTTTATAAAAATAATTACATAAAACATGACATATCTTGATATATAAGTATCATAGTCATTATAATATTTGCTCACTTTTTTCCTTCTTATTGATAATATTTTCTTTCAATTTTCTCTCCCTTTTTCTCTCTATCTTCTTTCCTTTTATATTTTTTTCCCCCTCAACTTTTCTTCTCATCCAACTGGAGGGATTCCGTGCGTAATTATCTCGTTAGATTATTGTGGGATGGATATGTGGGCAGGGCCTCCTGAAAAACTGAACCAGCTCTGATATTTGAAACTGCTTCTCCTTAACCAGAAGCCGATGGTGGATTGGATTCTCTCGACTCATTGCCTCGGCGTCGTAATGGCAGCTTGAGTTCTCGGTGCGAATATCGTAATTGATGCCTTCTGTTCAAGCATTTAACGAGTCAAACTTGTACGGCAGCCCTCGTCTAATTTGCGAGGCCTTCTACATCTGCAACTCCACAAATGATTTGGAAAAGGAAAAGCAATCGAGGAATTTCCAAGGGTGCTTGAAAATGAACTAAACACGACAATACGAAGAACATATCACTCACAGTAACAGACTTGGGGGTGGGTCAAAATAATAATGACTTATGTATTGTGTAGTAATATTTTATAGTATGCATAAATGCGTAGATTTTTTTTTTTTAAGAAAGTTTAGGTGAATTAGATTCTAAAGACTCATTACCAAAGCTAGAGCATGCATGTGGGCTCAAAGAACATTTACAAAGATACTTTAAGAGAACCTGCCAATATAGTCCTCATATTAGTAGTTGGATTTGAACTATGACCTTGTGACCGTGATGGGCCAAATTCTTTACCAAGTAAATCAATATTTATTTGTAAATACATAGACTTTAATTATCAAGGAGGAGATCATGTCTCCAGATCTCCCTAACTTTATTTGTATCCGCTTGAAGAAAGTTTCATGCATAAAGAAATAATGGAACAAGTTCAGACACATTATTCACTAAGAAAAAAGTTCAGCTCCATTTCTGTGCCAAAGCAAAAAATGAAAAAAAAAATGAAAGAAGGAAAAAAAAAACAGAGATATTGTTTTGTTGTTGAGCTTAGAGCCAGGATTATCGACTTATTTTCTTTCGAATTTATGAATCATATTGGTGATCTATATTTAAGTAGTTTGATTAAGGCTTCCATCATTTTTATTCTCATATAAATTAAATAATTAATTTTACCCCTTGGCTTATTGTCATACTGTGTACGTGCATGCATTTATTTGGATTGGAAAAAGGAAAGAGAAAACAATATTTTTTTGGAACTAAGGGAAAACAATATTGATTAGCATTTCTTTATTTTTTTAGTTCGAGTGTGCGTGTTGGAAATTTAGGGGCATAAATAGAAGTGCTCAGAGAGAGACATACTAATCTAGGTATGAAGCAGATAATTCAATTACCCAATGTCTTTTCTCTGAGGCACAACAAATACACCTCACGAACAAAGAATATAATGTTATTCAACTTTGAGATGTGTTTTGTCTGTTAGCTAATAAATTGCGAAATCGTGTCATAGTAAATCAAATTCATTATGATAGGACGATTGTGATGTGATATATACTATTATTTATAATATCTTAATAAATAGGGTATTTTGGATTCAGTCAAGAATAGTCAATCGTCAAATAATTTTTAATTCTGTTCAAAACTAATTTAATTAAATATATTAAATTAAATACTAATTTAATATAATATTCGATTCTCATTCAAAGCGGATACCATTGTGTACATGTAATGTATTCTTTGCATCGAGAAAATCAGAAAATATTATTAAACACATATAAAGGGAAGCTCCTTTTATTTCACACAACTACTACATGAGTAGTTTTGACTAGTACAAGGAAACCAAGCAGTAGAGAATAAAATCAAAAACATAAACCTGCATGCATCTTATTATTTACTTATCATATAGGTCGACATTGAACTAGTTGCATGAGGAAATTAAAACGTACGATAAATCATCAACATGATGAAGCTCGATCATGGACAGGAAAAACAATTATACGTGTTTAGCTGTTGTTATACCAAAATTGCTTTTGAAGATAATCAATTATCTTCTTATCAACTTGAAACGCCTTAGTGAGAACCTCAGGGGAGATAGGAGGAGTGGAACCAAACACAGCATTAGCAATGGTGATAACTCCTGGATTTTGGCTGCTAAGACCTGCAATTGCAATGGCATTTTCATACCCAACATTGAGTTGGAAGTGAATCAAACCAATGGGAAACACAAACACATCTCCTTTATTGAGCACTTTAGTGAAGAGAAGGTTAGTATTATTTTGATTGGAAGTCACAAATCCAACCATGAGAGTGCCTTCGACGACGATCAAGATCTCAGTGCCACGAGGGTGAGTGTGAGGAGGATTGAGACCACCATGGGCGAAATCAATGCGAGCAAGAGAGATACCAAGTGTGTTCAGTCCTGCAAGCTCATTTACAGTTACTGGAGTGACTTTGGAGCCTACTGGGTTGGATGTGTTGCCAGGCATTACATGGTAAAAGAAATCTTCTGCCTTGACAAGCTTAGGGTCTTTGCAAAATTTCCCATTCACGAACACTGCACATGCATGATAATAGTTCACTATAATCAATCAACATCATACATACATACATATATATATATATATATATATATGGAATGACTAGCGAGTGAACACCATACCTTTTAACTCAATCTCAATTTAAGTTTATGGGTTTTTCTAGTTTATTATATATTCCATCTATTTAAAAAATATAAGACATTTTTACTGAGGCTAGATGCTAAAAGATATAATATATTTTTAGTCTTTCAATATATAATTAATAAGTTTTTTTTGTCAAAAATACCTTTATTAAATAAAGCTCTCAACTTTTCACCTTTAAGTGAGTTATTAAATAAGGACAAACATAAAACAAATGGTATCAAATTTAGGATAATTAACTAACTTATGGAGTGTAATTTATAGTTATTAAGTCAAACTTGATCTGATATGAGACTGCACACATGGACTCAAGTTTATTCATGATTGAACAACCTAGCAACACACACATGCACACACATACATATTGGATTATATTGACCATCAATATGCTTATATATGATAATCCATCCATTCTCAACTATTAGCGAATTTTAACCAACTCACACAATTTAAAAAAATTGTTGATCCTAATAATAATTATGTCTGAAATTAAAAAGATTGAACTAAAGTGCCTTTCAAGTCAATCCTTCTTCTTCCTGTAATTTGAAGACACTATAATGAAGGACAATTCAGGAATATGTCATAAATATTCCTTAAAGTTGTTATTTTTTTTTATAAGCTTAAAAATTGTTACTTTTACTTATATTTAACAAATTAAGGTTCAACTTCTAATAACAACATATACATGTTTTCGTAAGATAATATTCAATACAAAATTTATGAGCTTTTATTGTGATAAATTTTGTTGAGATAGCCTTAAATGGCATTTTTTTCTATTTAAAAACGGAGGGAAAGTATTAAAAAAGGCGGGTATGTACCTGCTCCAATTTTGTAGTCATCTAAAGCGACACAAAAGTCTTGAAGAGGGCTTGGATCATAGGCAGAAGTGAAGGAGATCAAAGCCGAAGCCAAGAGAGCAACGAAGGAGCCCACTAGGATTGCACCTTTCATGTTTCCCTCAATAATTCTTCTCTGTAAATTGTATACTGTGTTGTGTGTATGTTGTGAGTATTATGGCAACATTCATGTGTTATTTATAACTAGAGTTAGCAGCCGACATTATTGAATCGGTAATAAACATTATAATATTTATTAAATTAAATCAAATTAAATTAATTGCTGACTGAACCTTCTTCTTTAACGACTACACCTGCCCGGACCCTTTTTTATTTTTTCTTCTCAGTGCTCAGACTTGGTTGCTCCACATGAACGTCACAGATGTGTGTTTCATTGAGCATTATCTACCAACTTTCTTCTTTACTTCCTACTCCCTCAATTAATCTATGCATGATAAAACTTCATGCTCATTGAAAAATATTAGTTATATTTTTAAAATAGTAAAAAAAATATGAAACTGTTCAATTTTACCTTTATTTGTAATTAATAACCATAAAAATTATTTTTTAAGAATTCAAATCACATGTAATAAATAAAAAAGGGCAAAATTGAAAAATAAAATTAATTACTCTAACTTTGCCTACCAAAAAAAATTCCAAAATTTGTTTTATATTAAGGAATGGAGGGAGTATATTATTCCGTCCCTTGTAGAATTACAGGGCATCTTTTTAAAAAGTACTTACGTTATTTAATATAAGATCATATTAACAATCTCACGCTTATTAAGAAAATATAGTTGTATATTTAAAATTGTTAAAAAAATTATGTAATTTCTCAATTTTTCCCTTCTTTTCATTTAATAACTATAATAAATTATTGCTTATGGATTCAAATCATAATAAATAAACAAGGGGTAAAATTAAAAAAAATTAATTACTCTAACTTAGCTTTTATATTAAAGACAAAAAAGCTTTCAAGGCTTGTTGTCTTATATTAAGCATTGGAAGGAGTAATATGTTTAAACATACAAGATATTTTGGGTTATTATCATGATGTTATTAAGTATTGGGATAATGAAAATTTTTAATCTCTCAAGTTTGCCTCAGTTATTAATTTATTCTCTGAAGTCTAATTTTTATCAATTTAGTCCCTTTTGTTATCTTAAATTATTATTTTAGTCCTTTAAATTTTACAACACAAATTGACTCTCAAATTAATCTAATAATGTGTAAAGTTCATTAATAACTTAGCATGAATATGTAGCTAAATAAGAATAAATTAGCCTTTAAATCAATTTAATTTTTATTTATATAATCATTTATGCTGTGTTTTGTTCCTTTTTTGTTGTGTCTCTTCTATTTTGCTATATAAATAGTTGCACTTCTTTTCATTAATATATATATATATATATATATGGATGTCATCAATATTTTATTACTTATGTTAGCAAATTTTAACAGCGTTTCATCCTTCTTGAACAATAAAAACCAAGTCTATAATAATTAAAGTAAATTTAAAATACCAAATTAATAAAAATTAAATTTAAGGGATCAAATCAATAATGAAGCAATTTTGAGGGACTAAAAGCTTTTTTAATTCCTTAATAAAATATTATTAAAAAAAGCCATAGTAGTCATAGGTAGAGATTGGATTTTTTATTTAAGTTCTATGCATAGGACTTTTTCTGGATAAGCTGATCCTGCCGCAAAGTTTGCTTATACTTTAACCACTTATAGTTGTTTCTTTAACCACCCTCCATCTTTTATCATTGAGAAGGACAGGGAAAGAAATAAGCACTTTGTTGTAACTTGACTTGTCGGCCTTTTTCGCTATTAATGTATCATTTTCTATTTAAAAAGATATAATTAGTAAGATTTTTTTTTGAAATTATCCTTAATGATAATTTCTCCAGTTCTTAATATAAGAAAAAGTTTGAAAATTTTGTTTGTCCTTAATATAAGATGAAGATAGAGTCATTAATATTTTTTTTTTCAATTTTACCCTTTGTTTATTTATTATTATTTAATTTCTATACAAAAATTTATCATAATCATTAATTACAAAGAATGGTAAAATTTAAAAATTACACACACACACACACAATTTTAAAGTTATAAACTGATGTTTCTTGATGCGTGTGGAGTTTATTAATGTTGTCTTATATTAAAGACGGGAGGGACTATTAAAAATTACGAAAAACCAAATAGTAAAGGATACGCTGATTGATTGATTTATTGAGGAAGCAAATTAATTAAAAATACTTTATAATTTAAAATTCAGAAATGTCTGGAAACAAAGAGAGGAGGGAGGGGATTTATGTTGAGAATTATAAAAGAGGGAGGGAACGTTATTTAATTGGTAATAATATTAGGTAATCAACTTTCCATTGTATCCAATATATATATATATATATATATTAGGTAATCAATTTATAATTAACCGATGACTTGGGCATACTTCCTTACAAGTCCACGCCCTGTCCTTTTGCTTTCCAATGATCAAATTCTATTTGCTCCCCATCAACATCACAAAAGATGTTTCACTGAATCTGGTAAACCGACTTCATCCTACTGGGTCTTTAGTTTATTATTTATTTATAACGATAATAAAACAATATATAATATGCTAATTATTTAGGAACCATTAACCAACTTGAGCGAGGGAGTACTTAATTGAAATTGAATACTCCCTCCTGTCCTTATATGTCCTTAATTAATATATAAGGTGAATTTAATTAAGGGAAAATATCATTCAAGAAAAGCTGTGACAAAGTAATATCAAACAAGGACCACCATAACTTTAGATAGGAAAATACTACAATACCCCTGCTTTTTTTTTCTTTTTTTAAACTTATCAATTAGCGAATAACTTCTTGTTAAATGTGAGTGAATATTTTTTAATTAATGAATGATTACTTATTAAAACATGATATACATCTATTCTTTCTCACAATCAAGTTCTTTTATATTATTGAACTTGTTAATTAGCATATGACCTATTGTTAAATGTAAATGAGTATGTATTAATTAATAAATAACTAATTATTAAAATATGATCTATACTTATCCTTTCTTACGATCAAACTCTTTCCTATTGTTGACCTTGTCAATTAGCGAGTGGCTTTTTGTTAAATCTAAATGAGTATTTATTAATTAATAAATGACTACTTGTTAATTAAAAAAAGAAAAGTAGGATTATTATGGTCTTTTCTCATCAAAAATTATTTTTAAATTAGTCCCTTAGTCTTACTGTGATATTTCAAAATCTTTTGATCCTTATTTGATATTAAATTACTTGAGCAGTCCTTGAATAATATTTTTTCTTTAACTAACTTCATGCTTATTAAGAAATTGCAGTTATATCCTTCAAATTGTTAAAAAAAATGTAACTTTCCAATTTTATCATTCTTTGTAATAAATGACCGTGTCAAATTATTTTATAAGAATTCTAAATATACTAAATAATGTGTAAAATTGGAAAAAATTGTAATTGCTTTAACTTCGTCATATATTAAGGATGAAAAATTTCAAAATTTGTCTCATATTTTCTCAAGTCCAATTCATAAGAAAGTGAAAGAAAGATTTTTTGAGTCATATGTATAAGTCACATCATTAAATTTTTAACACAAGTTTTTTTATCATCTATTAAATGTTAGTGAAAGAAATTATATTATTAAAATATTTATATTTGGTAGGAATCGAAAATTAAAAGATTATTAAATTTTTAGGCAAAGTTAATGAGTTTTAAGCATTTTAATTTTGGTAAACCGTGTTATTGAATTTTGATGAAACAAATCTATTATTACTAATTAATAAAAACTACAAAAGGAAAACGAAAGAGAAAAACGCCAACGTCCGGTTGCCGGGGTGGCAAATGCCATGCTGTTAATGAACATCCTCTAACCCAATGGCCTTGTAGAAGCTGTCTTATAAATGGAAAGTGACGAGTTCAATTTTGCTTGAAATTTCAGGTCATTAGTGCCCATTCCAATTACAAAACAAACATGCTCTAACAAACTGGTGAGACGATGATTTGATTTTAACTAATAAATAAGACTAGATGAATATTAAAGAGCAGAGTGTGTATATTAATATGGATTAAAGTGTATTTTTGCTTTTATAATTTCTTCTGAAGAACACTGGGCTACATGTAATAATAAGTGAGATATTTTTTTTAAATCATTTTTCAAAGGAGCAAAAATTTCTCTCTGTTAATGATTCGTTAACAGAAGAAAATTTTTGCTCCTCTACAAAATGATATAGGAAAAAATGCCCTAATTACTAGTATAAAGTGTCCTTCGCTCCTCAAAGGAAAATAAAAAGGAAATGCACTTTAAATCCCTAAAATATGCAAATAATAATAAAATTTTACAAAATATCATGATTTTTCTCAAGTCCCTTGAAAACTTTCAAACATTATTGATTTTTTATGAAATAATTAAAATACCCCCAATTTAAAATAAAAATAAAAATTAGATACTACCTTACTTCAAGTAATGATTACTTTTCTTTTAGCATTGACTGAAAATGGAACAACTAATTATAACTTTTACTGTGTAAATTTTAAATTTATTGAAATCTAAGTGTTTTGAATACCCGTGATTATTTTAATTTAAACAATGAATACTTTTTTCTGACATTAATTAGAATGGAACGAAATATTGTAATTTCTAGTTTCATTGCAACAAAAAAAGTTATTTTTTAAATTAAAATAGTCACTCATATCTACTCTTAAGTTAATTAAGTGCAATTTTACTTTTGTATTTTCCTTTGAAAAGCATGGGCAACTTGTATTAATAAGGGGGACATTTTTCTCCTAAACCCCTTATCAAAATTACTTTATACCTATTAATATCGAGTCGTTAGTAATTTTGATTTTTGAGAATTAATTTTAGTGGACTTCATTTTCTTTTTCCGCAACACTCTAAACCTCCAGCTTTGTCACAATCAATAATAATAACAAAAAAAAAATAACAATAACAATAAAGCACACAAGTTTCAGCACAGAGAATTATTAAGATTTAATTGGTTAAAAATATTTTCCATTATTTGTCAATGGAACTTTATATACGCAATTTGATATGAGATTAACAGGTTTAAATTCAAGTATTATCGAACTTGATTAGAGGTTTCTATCACAATTTTTTTTTTTTTGCATTTATAT